AGGGCTGGGACCTTCACATCCTGCTGGCATGACTGTAAAGTGATGCAACCACTGTGCAAAGTGGTATAGTGCTTCCTTAAGAAGTTGAAAATCAAATGTGACCATGTGACCCAGCAATCCCTCTACTAGAAAAGTATGAGACACAATAGCTATATAGACACCATGTTCATCGCAGCATTATTCACAACAGCAGAGAGATGGAAACAACCTAAATGCCCACCAGGAGAAAAGTGGATAAACTCTGGTAATACACACAATGAAATGTTAAGCAGTATCAATAACGTGAAACACCTCAGAACATGGATGAATGAGAACATTATGCTGAGGGAAATTAGTCAATCATCGAAGGGCAAATACTGTATTAGACTACTATTATAAAACGTCAAGAAAAGGTTCCACACTAAAATAACTATTCTTTGGTGGTTACTAGGAGTAGGAGAGGGAGAGAAGGTAAATTACTGGCTACAGGGTAGTCAGGTGAGGTGTTAACATGAATAAAGGTGAAGGCAATATACAAGAGGTCAACAAAAAATGATGGAGGCTGGGGAGTCACAAGAATGAAAAGGCAACAAAGGTAACTATTGCTATATACACCACTTCTACAATTAGGATGATCCCTGAGTAGATGCATGGATAGACAGGCAAGCTAACTAGCTGTGGGAGGGAATAGAATTATACCCCTGAATGAATATGCACATACATACATATGATGCATGTTTGACAGAGGATATTTGTACATATTATTTACCTTTGCTTTAATGGTAGCCATGAATGTGGTGGAGCGCACAGGTGGCGGGGATTATAAAAATGGTTTAGACATAGCCAAACACCTTAATGGAGTGAGTTGCTGTGCCCTGGGGTTCAAGCCATGGCCTCAGGGACACCAAGGTCAACTGGTATAACATAGTCCACCAGACAGTGTTCTTTATGTCCTACTTTATTTTTTTATGCCCTACTTTAGTAACTAGCAAATGGGATCATAAAAGTTCTCAGTGGCCATCTAAGGTGCAATTATGTGTCTCTTCCAAAATAAAGAAGAGAGAAGAAAACAAAATACACATGGAAACAATTACTCCATTGGACTACTGGATCACATGAACATTAGCCTCCTCCACCTTGAGACAAGAACTAGATGATGCATGGCCACTACTACCACCTGCTCTGAAAGGGACCACACTAAAAGGTCCTGGACAGTCAGAGGAAAATGTGGGAATAAACAGCAAGGTGTATGGGTCAGATAGAAACCCCCAAAACTATTGCCGTCAATCACCCTTCAGGTCTAGAAATGAACAGGGCTATAAACAGGGCTATACATGAAGAACATTAAAGAAGGTATGCACAGCAGAGCATAACTGATCATTTGAGATATGGGCAGTACTGACCCAAGTGCAAAGTTCAGAAGGCTTAGGAAAGATGCTGGAGTAGAAAAAAGGAAATCCAAGAAAGAAATGAGATAAGTGATCATACATTGTGGGAACTGCAATCAATGGCATTAAAAAATGTGTTTGACTTGTGTCATGGAAAACAAATCTGATCTTTTATTGCTCAATCACAACAAAAAGGTTTTTTGTTTTTTTTTAATCAGACAAAGATTGTTCTTAGCACCATCATGAGTCATTCTGGGGGACTGAAAGATCGGCATTTGCATGTTTTCATTATTCAGAAAATGTCAGTGCACCCTACAGAACTGTTGTCCTGTCTCATTCCTTTTTCTTTTTTTTAAATACTCTTATTGGGGGGCTCTTACATCTCGTATCACAAACCATACATTCACTCAGTGTGTCAATCACATTTGCACATATGACACCATCATCATTTTCAAAGCACTCTCTTCCACTTGAGCCCCTGATATCAGCTCTCCATTTCTTCCTCCTCCCTCTACCACCCCCCCACCCCCGCCCTACCTCACAAACCCTTGATAAGTTATAGATTATTATTTCCATGTCTTATAGCGCTCACTTCTAAAGCAATAGTTCTCCCCTCCGGCTGCCCATAAAATCACGTTAAAAACTTTCCCAAAAAAATCGATCCCTAAGTCCACCCTAGTGACTTGGAAAGTGATGAGGAATTGAAGCACTTGCTGATGAAGATCAAGGACTGTAGCCTTCAGTATGGATTACAACTCAATGTAAGGACAACTAAAATCCTAACTGGACCAATAGCTAACATCATAATAAATGGAGAAAAGATTGACGTTGTCAAGGATTTTGCCTTATTTGGATTCACAATCAGTGCTCATGAAAGCAGCAATCAAGAGATCAAAAACTCCTTAGGTCATTAAAGAACAAGGATGTTACTTTGAGCACTAAGGTGCTCTTGACCCAAGCCATGGTATTCTCCATTGCATCATATACCTGTGAAAGTTGAACATTAAATATGGAAGACTGCAGAAGAATGGATGCATTTGAATTGTTGTGTTGAAGAATAATGTACCAAGGACTACTCAAAGGACAAACCAATCTGTGTTGGAAGAAGTAAAGCCTGAGTGGTCCTTACAGGCAAGGATGGCAAGACTTAAAAGACTTAACTGTCATTACCTGCATTTATCTCTTCTTTGTCATTCATACTTTGGACATATTGTCAGGAAAGACCGATCCCTGGAGAAGGACATCACATTCGGTAAAGTGGAAAGATAGTGAAAAAGGAGGAAGGCCCTCAATGAAATAGATTGATGCAGTGGCCACATCAATGGGCTCAGGCATAGTAACAATTGTGAGGATGGCACAGGAACATGCCATGCTAGGTTCTGCAGTGCGGAGGGTTGCTATGGGGCAGCATAGACTGGATGGCACCTACTGACAAAGACAGGCCCATCACCTGAAATCCCTTTTTAATCACCATGGGGTAGAACCTCGAAATTTTTTTAATCTTACAATTCTAATATTCAGAGAGTTCTAACATAGGGTAACATACATTTACCATCTAACATGAAGTTTTAAGAAGCTTTTGAGGGCTGAGTTAAACTAAAAATTTCATATATTTCACAATGTTTCCTAATGAAAAATATTTTAAGTCCCAAACAACTAAATTTAAAAAAATGAATTTTGGAGCATTAGTTGATTGAGGAAAAAAAATACTGAAAAAAAAAATTAAAAATAAATAACATTGATGTCAACTAGAATGCTCAAAATAAAGCAAAGTACCTCTAAGAACTAATTATTGTTCAGTGCTCAGGAAGAGATAAAGGCAGGCAATGACAATTAAGTCTTTAAGAAAGCTAAGGGAATTTAAGTGGAATCTTGAAAGATTGTTTAACTGTGAATAGCATTAGGGGCAGAAAAATGTACCTTGGAAAGACTGAACTGCCCAGAAGGTCCATATTGCAACGGTTTCAGAAATGAGCTTGGTATACATTCAACAAGGTTGTTTCCTCTGCTATGTTCAAGGATTTGTGAAATAAGCATTAAAATGATGGAAGTCCTTACTCCAAAAAATCCTAATGAAGTAGATAATACCCCAACAATCCACATTAAAAAAAACAGAGACAGAACAGCTCCAGTCCCAAAGCCAGGTGGAGCATAGTCAGACTCTGGCTGCCTGCTCTGGCTGCCTGCCTTTAAGCCCACGCCCTTTCCATTACTTCACACCGGTTCAGAAAAGAGATGGTAGGGATGCGTAAAATAAATGCAAGCACATTACATGGAACAACACTAAAAGCTGATCTCATTAAAGGCTTTTAAGCATAGCAATGAGGTAAAGGAAAAAAAAAAGATAATGGTTTAGCAGTCCAAGGAAACTTCAAAAAGTTCACTTGGGGGGGGGGGATCCACTATCTTTACGTTCCTTTTATTTCCTCCCATGAACTTTATGAAGCCCCCTCATATAAAAAAATAAATTAGAGAAAGGACCAGAAGAAGGAAGACCCTGATTGCTATTATGATGAACCATAAAATGTAGAACTGTTAAAGTACCACGTTCTCTACCCATTTCACAAGTTACGTAGCTTTGCAGTACCTTAAGGATATTCCCCACTATCACGTACTAAGTACTTGGTTGAGGCTTCCTGACTGTTCATCTTAAGTAATCGATTAAGTGAAATTATATATATAGACAAAAATGATATTTACAAATCTAAATCTTTGGATGAAGGTTGGTCCTTAAATGGTCCGTCTTTTACTTTCCAAACTGCTTAAAATGTAAAAAAAGGTAACTTGGATTAAACATTATTCCTAATATGATGCTTCTCTGAGCAAGAATCTAAACAGTTTCTAATTCGTTAAGTAATATCAATCAATTCTATTCTCTCCAAAAGAACCATTCAAGTTCACCTTTTCACTATGCACACAGCACAGACACTATGCTGCAGTTATTGCCCAAACTGAAATACCCCATTCAACTTCCAACCAACCATCAAAGCCCAGCTCAAGATCAGTTGTACACAAACCTATTATGAAATATATAGCCACTAGATCTATAAAGAACAAGACAAAGCTCCTACCCCACAGTCTAACTTAGTGGGGAAGGCAATTAGAGGTGCAATTACAAAATATGTGATCAGTGCTAAAATGAGGGAAGAGAGGTAGATAATAGCATAATGCCTTTGCTGTAACTAAAATGCCTATTGAAGGTTGAGGAACAACTGTTTAGAAAGGTACATTCTGATCTGTGTCAGCAGTTATTCAAAAACATGTAAAGGAGGGCAGGGAGATAACAAACTTCAGGGTGGGGCAAAAAGCCTCAACAACTTCCACACCCCCACACCCCCACACCCCCAAGGCCAGAAAGTCTTTTATGGAAGTGAACTCATTTTAAATGCCTTAGCCTTGCAAGCAGGTGTGAAAGTCAGATTTTAATTAAGCTAAAGATAAAATAAGTTCAATGAAAACACTGATTACATAAAAGATTTTGTCAAGCTTGAAACACAGGATTCAGAAACAATAGCTGGGTTGTTGAGGAGCGAACTGGGAAGAAAAGGAGGAAGAAGCAGTGTTTACTTCAATGGCAGGGGGTACAAAGCAGAATAGAGATGAGGTACAGCGTACAAGACTAAAGGGGCTTACATCTTGGGCGGTAACCATGGATAACAGGGATGTGGAGCATGGTAGTTTGGCTGGCCACGAGTTTGCCAAGAGAATTAGTCCCAGCGGTCCCCTGGAGGATGGGGAGAGATTCAGTGCTCTCAAAATTCATCTTCGCCCTGGATGTATTGGACTTCCGGCTTTTTAGAAGGCATCGGCTTCGGGCTGGATTGATTGTGCAGGCTCCACGTGAGGCTCTGGGTTCCAGGTTGCTGAAACACAGCCTCCCCAGGGAATAGTTAGCGGCCTGGTCTTTGTGTGCTGGTGGGTAGAACTAAGTATAAACTACGTTGGCATTATTGTATTTTGGGGGAGGAATGATGGGCCTGTTTATGGTCTCTAAGGGAGTAAAAAAAGCAATGTGTGCCCATTAGAGATTTTCAGTGAGGAAAAAAAGTGCCAAGAGTTCAAAATTTGTCCTTAGAAATAGTCAAGGTAGTCATTCGATATGTCCAACTTTCCCTAAATAGGCCTTGTGTACCAAACTAAACTGGATCAACGCCAGAATTTTTTTAATTTAATGCTTTGTTTTGCACTTTTTGTAGCTCCAAAGTGCCTAGGTACCGAGCTGGGTACGTCGAACGTATTCAGAAAAATTAGTCACTCAAGATACCTAACTCAGTCTTCTTTTTGCATGTGAAAACGTTAAAGAAAAAAAGAAAAGAACCCTAACACTTTCCTTTATTCCAAACTCCGGTGCGTCTCTCCACCGCCTTCCGCAAGAATAGAATTGTTGCACTATTAAGTGCTGTGGAAAACTCCAGGTCTCGTCACAGAAAATACCTGCCTGCCCGTCCCCCCGGGTGTAACGGTCTGCGTGCCTATGCCTACCCACCTCTCAGAAAGATAAAACGTGCTCACCGACTCTGGGCCGCCCCGAGATCCAGTGAATGCAGTCACCGCTCCTCGCCGTTAGCCCTGCCGAGCACTTCCGGCGCGCACGAAACGTCACCGAACGCGCCCGCCGCCGGGCCCGCCTCTGGGCTGGGGTCCTCGTCGCACACGAAACGTCAGCGAACGCGCCCGCCGCCGGGCCCGCCTCTGGGCTGGGGTCCTCGTCGCACACGAAACGTCAGCGAACGCGCCCGCCGCCGGGCCCGCCTCCGGGCTGGGGTCCTCGACGCGTCCGAGTGCGTCTAACGAGCGCCTGGTAGAGGCCGAACGGCTGTAACCCCTCCCGGACCCGTGATGCCAAGGACGCTACGTGGGGCGAGAAATAGCCGGGGTTGAGCCTCAGTTGAATCTGGGGCTCGCGCGCTCCTAACCCCTCGGGCCCGTCTTAGCAGAAGGTAAACGCCTCCCCAGCTGCTGTCTTCTCCCCTGCGGGCCTCAAATTATGCGCTGCCCTTTTTATTCCATTTTTTTATCGTTGCCTGCTCTCACAATTCTTACTGGAACGTACCACTTTAAAAGCGACCTATCGATGTTGAGCCCTTGAATTTTTATTTTAAAAAAAACAAGCACCAAGCATCTTTCCCACTGCTTCGAGAATTGCGTGCCTTATCAGCGTTTCACTGTGACAATTCGTTTCCCTCATGTCAAATAGACATCACCACAGGCTTTTTAATAGAAAATTTGAACTTACTTGATTTCCATTTAATTTTCACATATAATATTTTGACTTTGTAAAATAAGGTATGAAAATTAAATACAGCTTTTGTTCTTGTAGGGGAGAAAGACGGGATTTACCTCTCCGGGAAAGCGTTACGGTCTCGGAAATCCAAAGGGGCAGCTCTACCCTGTCCTCTCTGGGTCGCTATGAGTCGGCATGGACTCGATGGCAGTGAGTTTTTGTTCTTTATTCTTATAAACTCAAATATACAGGTTATTATCCCTCACTAGCCTTAACCTATTCCTGTCACAGAATGTACCATTTTGTTATTTGGCAAGAATTGTTTTCAAGAACTCTACTCCAAAAAACAAATTTACTGCCATAATAGAGTCAATGCTGAATCCTAGCGACCCCCGAGGGTTTCCTATACTGTAACTATTCAAGGAAATAGAAAGCTCCAGCCTTCTCAGGTGGAGCTAATGGTGGTTTCCACCCACCGTCCATGAGGATTGCAGCCCAACACAGAACCACTACTAGGGCTTCAGGAACTTTATATATGTCAAATTGAAAGGGTAAAATGTATTCTTAAGATTATGCTATAGAAAAACATTAAGACAGACAACCTGTGGTGGCCCAGGAAATGCACTGTTGACTACTGGGACTTTACACAGTTATTCTTTCTGGGTGCCCAACATCCTTTATAGGCCCACCAGAAGGACTAGATGTGGAAGCTCCACTAAGTGAACTGGGCCTTACCTTAAACTCACCTGTAGCCCATGGACGTAAGGCTGAAACTCCCTAGTGGGAGAAGCAGCAGATGACTGCTTTCCCAAGGGTATAGAACTAATGGGGGCCCTGGACTTTGGTTTTTCTACCTTGAGGTGCCCAATGAATGGTGGGCCAGGACTGCCATATGCTTACTATTTAATGCTCTCCTAGGTTTATTCTGACATGTATTAATCTGGCAAGCATGGTTCTGCCATTGTGAATGAATATGATTGAAACTTTTGCCCTATTACCAACCCCCAATGCTTATGTAAATAGTGTCCAATCACTCAAGTGTTTAATCTGTATGAATCAGCAATTCATTTAAAATAATATAAGGTGCATAACCAGCAAAAACAAAACAGCACAAACGTACCGAGCCTTGCCGCGGTGCTAGTGGAAATCAGCAGCCAAGGTTCTTTGGAGCTTCCTTTTTCTTTCGGGAGTGGAGAAAAGACCTCCCATTTGCTAACTCTTATCCTGAAGGGAAGTTGGAGTAGTCTAAGGATTTTTCTTGCATAATCCACAGCCTCATCCATACACACCAAAACCAAACTCCAAACTCACTGCCATTGAATTGATTCTGACTCATAGTCCTTTTCCGAAATAAAAAGCATTGTCTTCCCATAAAAGGGTTGGTGGTTTCAAACTGCTGACCTTGTGATTCACAACTCAGTGTGTAACGCACTGTATCACCAGGACACCTGCTATACACAGAGGAACTGTTAAAGACTACCTAAAAGAAAGACTAGAACATATTTTAAGTGGTGTGTTAAAGATTGAATTGTGTACCCCTCCCCCCCAAAAAATATGCATTGTAAAACCTAACCATTTTTCCTGTGGGTACCATCCTTTGGGAATGGTTGCCTTTGTTATATGTTAATGAGACATAACTAGGATGTGTTTTCTAGCTCTTTTGAGATATAAAAGATTAAACCAGCTAGTGTAGGAAGCAAAGATAGGGGAAGGCTTATGCCAGTACACGTGAAGATAACCAAGGAACCAATGACCAGCTCACAGAGAGGGGGAGAGAATTCTCCCAGAAACAGCATCCTGAATTTCGACTTAAATAGATATCCACTTGTGGTATCTATTACAGCAATACTAGATAGCTAAGACATGGTGCCAAGGGGATAAGGAATTCCAAAATTCACACATAGTGACCCTGGTAGCTTAGTGGTTATGCATGGGGTTGCGATCCTCACTGTCAGTAGTTCAAACTCACCAGCTAGCCACTCCTTGGGAGAAAGGGCTTTCTATTCCCTTAAACAGTTACAGACTCAGAAACTCAGGCAATTCTTTCCTGTCCTATAGGATCACTATGAGTTAGCATCAACTCGATGGCAGTGAGTTGAAATTCACCCAGTCATTGTTCCTAACTCCGAAATATAGGGAAGGTGTATAAAGTTGACATAATTCAATCAGTAATTAGTCATACTGCTTTTACTTAGAATGAAGAATATCAGGTTTAGATTGCTTATGCTTATTTTGTTTTTCCTTTTTAGAAATGAGTGGTGGATTGGCCCCAAGTAAAAGTACAGTATATGTATCCAACCTTCCCTTTTCCCTCACAAACAATGACTTATACCGGGTGAGTTGTCAAAAGAGTACACTTATCTGTGGTATTCTGTAGAATATATAATCTACTTACCTAGTTTAAGCAACCAGTGCTCTGTGGCAAAACTGTGTCCTAATGCATCTAAACCTTCACTCTCAGTGACCTCTATTGCAACATGAGTAAGTACAGGGGACAGTGAATCAGAAACTCAGAATTTCCTAAGATAATTCCTTTATAGAGAAAAATGTTATTTTAAACACAGAAGGCACAGCTTCCAAAATAAAATGAGAGCAACTTGTGATAGGCTGTTTTCCTTACTTGGCTTTTGAAACTAGCAGGGAGATCAAACTCTTTGGAGGAAAAAGTAATAACAGTAATGATTTTTTCATAACCCTTTACATACTTGGCAGAAGCTTCATAGTTCAAAAAATATTTTTAGTTCAAGATAGGAATAATTGAGGGGAAAAAAATCCTTTCCCATATGTTCTTTCACTTTTTACCTTACAGAGAACCAAATTTCTTGCTCTGCCTGTCCTGTGGTTGGGTCGTAGTGGCATTCCAAAAAACTAAACTCATTGCCACCAAGTTGATTCCAACTCATAGTCACGCTATAGGACAGAGTAGAACTGCCCCTGTGAGTTTCCAAGACTGTAATTCTTTACCAAAGTAGAAAGCCCTTTCTCCCTCAGAGCGACTGGTGGTTTAGAACTGCTGACCTTTGGTTAGCAGCCCAACTTGTAACTACGACCCCACCAGGGCTCCTGGGAGTAGTAGTAGGTGCCATCAAATCAGTTCTGACTGATATATATACTGATGCCATGTATAACAGAACAGAAAACAACTACCTGAATCTTTCAGCCCCGTTGTTACAGTCACTGTGGATCCATCTCGTTGTGGGTCTTCTTTTTCACTAGTTTACCAAAGATGATGTCCTTTTATTCCCCTTTGTTTTCTTTATTTTCTGTTTCTATTTCTTTTTTTTTTAACCATTTTATTGGCTTGTACAAATCTTCTCACAATCCATACTTCCATCCATTGTGTCAAGCACATTTGTACATTTGTTGCCCTCATCATTCTCAAAACTTTTTCTTTCTTCTTGAGCCCTTGGTTTCAGCTCTTCATTTTTTCCCCTCCCTCACCTTCCCTCCCTAACAAACCCTTGATAATTTATAAATTATTTTTTCATGTCTTACACTGTCTGATGTCTCCCTTCACCCACTTTTCTGTTGTCTGTCCCCCAGGAAGGGGGTTATATGTAGATCATTGTGATCAGTTTCCCTTTTCTCCCCGCTCCTTTCCCTTACCGTCCTGGTATCACTACTCTCATTATTGGCCCTGAGGGGTTTATCTGTCCTGGATTCCCTGTGTTTCCATCTCTGATCTGTACCAGTGTACATCTTCTGGTCTCGTCGGAGTCGGATTTGTAAAGTGGAATTGGGATTATGATAGTGGAGGGGAGGAAGCATTAAAGAACTAGAGGAAAATTGTATGTTTCATCGGTGCTATACTGCACCCTGTCTGGCTCATCTCCTCCCTGCGACCCTTCTGTAAGGGGATGTCCAGTTGCCTATAAGTGGACATTGGGTCTCCAGTGCGTACTCCCCCGCATTCACAATGATAAGATTTTTTGTTCTTTGATGGCTGATACCTGGTCCTTTCGACACCTCGTGATCATACAGGCTTCTTCCATATGGGCTTGGTTGCTTCTCAGCTAGATGACCACTTGTTTATCTTCAAGACTTTAAGACCCCAGACGCTATATCTTTTGATAATCCGGGCACCATCAGCTTTCTTCACATTTGCTTATGCACCCACTTTGTCTTCAGCAGTCATGTTTGGAAGGTGAGCATCATGGAATGCCAGGTTAAGAGAACACAGTGTTCTTGTGTTGAGGTAGTATTTAAGTAGAGGCCCAATGTCCAAATGATGACCTTTTCTAAGGATAGGTCCCTCTTCTCTAGGGAGCATTACCAGTGTCCTTCCAAAGCAGATTTATTCTCTCTCTTTTTTTTTTTTTTTTTTGTGGTGGGGGCATTTAATGGTATATATAATATTCTTCATCAAAACCATAATTTAAATATGGAGGTATTTCTGTTTTCTAGACATTGTGCTAGGTGCTTGAGATACTGAGAAGAGAAGATTGAGGCCTTTCTTCTGTTAATAAGCACACAACCTAATGAGATATGTTATTCATGCCTTCATTTTGCAAACTTTCATTTTGTTTTTGTTTTTTAAATTTCATTGAACACCTATTATATAGACAAGCAGTAGGCACTTGTTAGATTTTGGAACACTTCCTAAAGATATTGACCCTTGATCAGATGTTTGAGAGATGATAGATAACAAGGGAGAAAGCTGGAATACTAGAAAGTAGAAAACTTTTATAAAATGCCAAGACAAAGAAAAGTCTTACACAGTCACAGAGAGACCAATTGAAAGGTTTATTGCAATAATCCATTATCTAGATCAGGTAGCTTTTATTCTTTTAATGACTACTTAATGAATACTCACTATTACTAGAAACACTTGAACTTTAACATAAGGATAGAATAGTGTTGATAAGATTTTTCCTAATTTGGTAAGATAAAATTGATAGGCTTTGAAAACTGGTTGAAAATGAAAAGAGAACTCTTTCATGATTTGAAATTTTGGTTGACTTAGATACTGATGGTCTAGGGAATGCAAAAAGAGAAACAATTTATTACAGATGGTGACCAACTTTGGACACCTTAAATTTGAAGTACAAGTGGAATGTCCAATAGTCGATTGAAACCATTCCTTTAGAACGCAGGAGACCTGGAGGGCATAGTTAGGGTTAGTATACACATAGGGTCATTTTAAGTCAGAATTAACTGGAAAGCACACAACAACGATTCTTAATGTGGATGATATGCATAGATATGAATAAGCCAGAGAAAAACCATTGAGGATTGCCAACATTATGGGACTATTGAAGGGAGAAGCTGTGAGGAAGACTTGCCGTATATACTCGTATATAAGCCATTTTCAACACAGTTTTTATGCCGTTTTTGTGGTAAAATTAGGTGCCTCGGCTGATAATCGGGTCGACTTATATTGAGTATATACGGTAAGTCACAGCCAGAAGTTCCTTTCACTGCAGCAGGCAGGAGGAGAAAGTGATGTTCAACTAGATAGGGCAAGTTAAGGAGCAAAATGCGCTCATTGGGTTTGACAATCATTGATGACTTTACTGAAAGCACATTTCTTGGGTGGAAGGAATGAAAGCCAAATTGCAGTGAGTTGAGGAACTATAGGCGTATGTAGAAAACTTCATTGGGCCTGTGAAGAAATGGATTTTTCATTGTAGAAGCTTTTTTGTTTCATGTTTTGCTAAATAAGCAGTCTAAGGATGTATGTGTGTGAAGCAGTGCTTGTGTGCTGGAGTGCTAGTTGTATAAGGATAGTAATTGTCTATAGCATTCATATTTGAAATGCCAGGTCTCCCTAGGAGTCACCGTAGGATAGATAGTTGTCAAGGGTATACGAAAGGAACAAAAATTCATGCATTCTCAAGGGGAACGTAACAAAGAGGAAGTGCTGAAATCCTGGTGGGGACTGAGCATGATAG